TCCCTGGCCCCAAAGTCTATTTTTGGTATTCCCCAGGGACTTCATTACTTTGCTCCCCTTGCTACTCTGTTGCACACCCTTAGCATTTCACCCATGTGGTGGGTTCAGATGGGGCATAATTCCCACACTGTGGCATCAGTGTTGTCCCCGTAGAACTATGGGTCCGTGAGGGACGTCATGTCTTGTGGTGGGACCAGCCCTATGGCCCTCTCTGTGCATTAGCTGCTCTGAGCAGGAATATCATCCTTGGGCTTGGTGGGCCAGGATGTGTTCCACTCTCTCTCCTTCCTTCTTCATTTGCTCCTGGGTGCTCTGATCAGACGCATCCCTCTGCCTGAGCTGTAGCTTCAGCGCTGTTCTCTGAAGTCAGGTCTTCTGGGGGGCAAGTGGGGCAGGTGTCCACGTAGTTGGGATTGGGGTCTGCCCCGGCCTTTTTTAGAATCACTGGGCAGATTTGAACTTTTGGCTAGCAGCCAACTTAATTATGGCACCACCAGGGCTCCTGGTACCTACCATAAGACTAACTTGTTGGTTTTGGTGCAGTTGGCTCCTGATTAACAGTGACCTCATGCACAACAGATCAAAATGCTGCGAGGCCCTGCACCATAACCCACAATAGGTTGGGAATGGACTGTTGTGGTCCATAGGGTCTTCAATAACTGATTTTGCAGAAGGTGACTGTCAGACCTTTCTTGCTAGTCCCTCTTAGTCTGAAAGTGTCCCTGAAACTTGTCCAGCATCACAGCAATATGCAAACCTTCACTGACAAATGGGTGGTGGCTGCACAACTGGTACACTGAATGGGAATCAAACTTGGTTCTCTTGCATGTAAGGTGAAACTTGCTGCTGGGCCGTGGTTAACAGAGAGCACCTTGCAGGAGAAAGGAAACTAAAGGCCAACTGTCTGCAGGCAGGCAGGTGGGTCTGCCATGCTCTAGCTCATCTGGCCTGGGCAGAGAGTGATTAGTAAATTTATGTAAGCTCAAAAACTTGCTAAAGACTTCCTCTCCCTAAGACTCTTCTTTGTATTGATGACTTTTCAGGCCAATAAAAAACAAAACCCCTTGGACTTCACTTCTTTTCATTTTTATGCTACTTAGACAAGCTGGTAGCATGCGAGTTCAAGAGCAGTACTGGTATGCATGATTCTCTTATCCCTTCTTCCCATCCATAGCCAGGGCTCTGGCTCCCTGGAGTCAACAGGTGCTCCCAGTTCTGAGGTAACACAGGACACCTTTTTGCTCCCTTCCTCCTCTATTGTCCTGGCAGCCGCCAGTCATTTTCTGGCTGTGGCCAATAAAGATGACTTGCCCAGCACCTTGCAGCACGTCACTGCTAAAGCCAGGGCAGTCAGTATCGGTGAACTGACAGGAGTATGGCCAGGCAGTCACCCCTCCCACTGTGATCCAATAAGCACGTGAGCGTCACAACCACACGCGACAAGGCCCCCACTTCCCTTCTTACCGTATGACTGTTGGAGTGATTTCTGCACAGAAGAAGACGCTGAGGCTGCCCACCGCGTGTGAGGCAAACATACCCACAATGGAGAAGGCAATGGAGAACTTGTCCTTGACGCTATCGCTCATGCCTACAGGAGAACCAGAGAGGGGTGGTGAGAGGAAGCAGGAGGAAAGAAGAGAAAAAGTAGCCAGTAACAAAAGAGGAGTGGCTGAGCAAAGGTGGGCAGGAGGTGGGTCCCGGGGTCTCAGCGTTCCATCTCTGGCCCCGTTCCCTGAGCAGCCCCAGGTCACTCTTCCCTCTAGAGACCAGTTAGTGCTGTGGGTTATAGGTCACAGCTCTTGGAAAGAGGGTTAGTGGGAGCTCCTGAGAGCAGGATCCCATGCCCACTTCCTCAAAGGCCCCCAAGTTAAGAGAGGGCCTGACAGGAGAGTGGGCCTAGGGTAGGTGTGTCACTTCCCGGCCATCCATGCTGCTCGGGAATCTGTAAGTCTGGCGATAATGACTAAAGAGAACTGCACCTCAGACAACCCACACAGACCTCAGAACACTGGACCTGGAGGAAACGGTCCGGCATCATGTGCATCCACACAGAGCAAATGTGCAGCGTGGGCAGGGCTAGTGCACAGGATGCTTTTGATGCTCATGCATGTGGGACCATTTCAGTCATCCCTCCAGGTGGACTGCTGAGCTTAGGCTCAGAGGCATGCATTCTAGGGCTAGTAAAGGCCAAGACAGGCAGAGAGCAGTTGTGGCAGTGGCGGCGACAGAGACAGCAGCAGCAGCAGCAGCAGCAGCAGCAGCAGCAGCAGCAGCAGGCAGAGGGCTTGGGATTGACAGGTGGCAGCCGTTTCCCCTGTGGCATGAAGAGGCAGGCCTAGTGCAGGCAGGCCTTTCTATCTGGCTCTGTCCTAAACGAACTGCACTGGCCCCAGACCAGAAGCCTGAGCTAACTCTTGATGCTGAGGAAGAAGCAAGAGCACAAAGCAAGGGGATGCGTGCCCATGGGCCAGAACCAGGAAACCAAGCAGCTCTCTCTAGAGGCATGAGGGACAGGGAATATAAATGTGTGCGTATAGTGTCCAACCTACGGCCAACTTCAGCTGCAACTCTTGGAGGGGAAGGGAACAGGAAGAGAAAAGAGAGGAGAAGGAGACCATAGATTCGTGAGTTGTCATGAAAGAGCACATTTAGATGCAATAATAAGATGAGGATGCGCAGGCACGAGAGGTAGGGATTACCTGAGTCTGGGTGCTGACTGTACTTTCCAATCACTAACTCCAGGAAGTGAGTGCACCCCGATGTGCAAACATGGAGAAAGGGGAAAGAGAAGAAAGCACATTAAGTATGAACCTAAGCATGTTCCCAGGTACCCTTCTGTAAACAAATACTCTTCCACATCCTGGGCTAGCTCATCTACCTTCTTCTCCCACCAGAAAGGGCCCTCCTTCTTGATCTATATCCTATGCCCTACTGGGGCCCCACCTGTACCCCACTAAGGGGATACCTACATCCAATTGGGGGGCTGCCTATACTCTACCAGGGGCCTAGCTCACATCCCCCAGGGATCCCACCATACATATTGCAAGCAAAGGCACATATAGAGGTTCTGTCTGGGATCAAACCCTCTGGCCTCAGAGCCTGGGAAGAAAAGCAAGCCCCTCAGAAGAGAACCCCTAATTTGGCCAGCCTCAGATCAAAGTGAATGTCATTTGCTAAAAATGATTTGAGAGTCTCAGCTCCAAGATAGAACCTACCAGGCAGTATTTTGTGTGTTCCAGTTCTCTTAATCCCAGCCATTTGACACCTTTGCCAACTTCCTGCACATAGGAACTTGGTGTTCCTTGGGGGCTCAGGCACCCTTCCCCACTAACCAGTGTCCCCTGAAGGGCCAGACCTCCACGGCTCACTGTGAGGAGGGGGAAGCGATGAAACCTGTCCCCCTCTCCCCAGGTTGTGCCTTGCCCATGGTCACTTTTGGCAGGCCTGCCGCCCAGTAAGATAGGGAATGCAGAACTCCAGGCACCAGAAAACCCGTTCCTGTGTTTAAAACAACCTAGCCTGTTACGTGCCAGTTTGCATAATACTGGGAAAGATGTGGAAGGTTTCCTTTTCCTACTTCTGTCTGGGGCACTGGTTCGCACACCTCAGACAGGCAGAGGACCGGAAATGCCGAGCGGCTTTTGTTTTCTCAGTGGCTCTGTTGCATTGTGCAATGGGACGACTGAGGAGTCGGGTTCAGACCCACTGGGACAATTTCCTGGTAAGACAGGAATGGTTCCGTTTCCCTTTATGTCCTGAGCCTGTCCAAGAGGGTTCAGCTTGGGCATGAGGAAGGTGAACGAGAAGGGCTCCCGGCGGTGAGAGATCAGCCCGGGATGTCTTTCTGTCCTTGAGAGGCAAGGATTTGTTCCCAGGGGAGACAGTGGATTTGCCCAGTACAGTTGGAGTGGCTAGACTGATTCTCTGGCTTTGATTCCTTTACCTCAACTAGAGTTTTTCAGCAATGCTGATGTGTCCGGCATATGCCTGAGAGCAGAGCCGTGCTCCAATACAAGAAGCCAACGCTGATTGACTTCCTCCAATTTCACAGAAATCCTGACAGCAGGGTGGATTGAGTTGGGATGGCAACTGCATGGTCAGCAGTTTGAAGCTACCAGCTACCTGAGGCTTTCTGCTCTCAGAAAGACTTCCTGTCTTGGAAACGCATAAGGGCAGTTCTAACACACCCTATAAGGTCTCTGTGCGATTAGAATCAAGTCAATGGCAGTGAGTGAGAATTTCACATGAAAGAAACAAGTCCTCTGTCTGACGGACACAGCATATAAAAATCAACGGCCGATTAGTCCAAATGAAGCCTATTAAGGCGCGAAGAACTCTGGCCATGGCAGCAGCACACTGCGGCAGCCAGTGGGACTCTGCTGTGCCTTCAGGGGTGAGGGGGCAGCCCAGTACATCGGGAGGCTATCACCATAAAGGTTTTCTTTCCAACTTCGTCTTCCTAACATACATTGTTCAAGCTGTTGACTTTGCAGCAACAATGCAGGTCCCTGATGTCTTTTTCTAGTCTGACTATAGTGTGGGAAGTGGCCCCTTCCCCATGGTCCCGTCCCACACCCCTGGCCCCACTCACAGTTGAGGAGCCCGAGCTGCAAAAGGGAGGCTAGGGCAGTGAGGATCATGAAGAGCAGCAGCCCTCCCCTGCGCCCCAGGAACCGGACCACCACGCACATGGCCAGGCAGGATGCCAGCGCGATGCCTGCCATGGTATAGTAGTCAGCGTAGAAGTTCTCCAGGAGTGGCACCTTCACCTCGTGGCCCATCATGCTCCGAGCAAAGCAGTGATGGATCCCGAACCCTGTAAGCCTGAATGAGGGACACATAGGTGAGCACACAAGAGGGAAAGGCTGGGGGTGTGTGTGACAAGATTTAGGGACATGGACATCTTTCATGGAAGTTGTAAACAGTACTGAGGACACAGCTCATAGTACGACTTAATATGCAGAATAAAGCTTACCATACCAGAAACTTCGGTGCTGGCTTAAATGTGAGAGAGAAGACTTCAAAGAAATATCAGGACTGCCCACCCTCAAATTTGTTAGCTGGCCTCTGACTCTGGTGCCCCCATATAATACGGAATAAAACCTGGTCTGGTAAGTGGGATACATTATGATACACTCAGGGGACTGTAATGGATCCACTGAAATAAAGTTTGTATGAATTGCTGAATGTACAACTGACGATCTGTTTGGTCAACTTTTACCTAATTCACAATAAAAGGTTATAATAACAAATTCATAAGCAGCCACCTAAAAGTGTAACTATTTGTTTCTCCAGGGGAAAGAAGAATGAACATCAAAAGATACATGGAACCTTTAATTCAGTAAAGATGAAACAGACATCAGCCTGGAGAGCCGGAGGCTACAAGAATGACAGGGTGTTCGTGAGCAATCCTGAGTAGACTGGGAGAAGAATGTGGGATAAATCTCCAAACAGGCTTCCTGATTGGATAGAAATTGGTGGTACCCCCATGACCATGGACTTTAGTCCTCCTTCAGGACTGGAACTGAACTCATCCCTGTATTAGAATAATGAACCCTTTAAGATAAAAAGGGGCAGCATTTACCCAAGGACAAATTAGAGGGTTAGGAAAAGAGGGAAACGGGAGACATAAGGAGGAAGTAGAGTAAGTGGTAGTACATTGAGGGAATTGCCATGGATGAGCTGAACTACTGAATGCAAAATTGATGAACTATTCTGTAAACCTTTACCTACTTCACATTCAAATGTAAAACAACAACAATAATAAACCGTATACAAACAAACAAACAAACAAACCCTGCTTTGGTTCTCGGCTGTTCCCATAATCAATAGTGGACTAGACTTTTGTGATCCTTAGGGCTTTCACTGGTTTTTGGAAGTAGATCACCAGGCCTTTCTTCTACGTCTATTTTAGTTTGGAAGCTCCCCTGACACCTGTTCAGCATTGAAACAGGTAAACTTCGGTATGCAATGCATGAGGTGCACTGAGTGGGAATTGAATTTGGATGTCCCATATGGAAGGTGAAAATTTTACCAGTGAACTCCCACTGGCCCCAGCTTTCCTCCCCATGCAAGGTGGGGCATATTCCATCTCTCCTGCTGTCCCTTTGGTAGAGAAGTTTGAGTAAAAAAGTCGTAAAATCTCTGAGGTGTGAGGCACAAAACAATGGAGTTGTGGTTGTGCTGGGTTGATGCAGGGGGAATAGCAAGATGAGCAGACCCGGGCCATGGTAGTCTGTGCAGGTCAGGCGCACGTGGTGCACACAGAAGGATGCAATGGAGGTGTACACATGGGACACCGTGGCCAGATCAGTGTTTTGAGAGGTCACTGCCACTGTGTGAAAGGTGGGAGAGGTAGGCTTTCAGTAGTCCCCTGTGGAGAGGCTGAAGTCTTGGACCATATCAGAGTATGGAGACAGCTGATAACTTATGCTGTGTCTTATAAACAAAACCAACAGGACTTCCTGTATTAGAGGTGAGGGATGGGGAAGAATGGATGATCTTGGGATCTTTATCCTGATCAAATGGCAGAGGATTATCTGAATTGGCAAATGTCAGGCTTGCTAAGGTGGAAAGTGGATGGTGAACTGCATGCAAGTAAGGGAGAAGCAAGAATTGTGTTGGCCATATGAGGGTTTAGATGCCTACGCAGCCTCCAAATGAAGCTGTCAAGGGAAGAAATGCAAGTATGAGCCTGGGAGAAGTGAGGGCATGAGGTGCCAGCCTGAGAGCTCCTAGCATTTTGTGATTGAGGGAGCCATGTGCCTACACGAGAGTCTGGGACCCCAAACCTCAACCTTCTGTGTATAGCAGAAGTACACAGACATTTGAAAATGTGGGCCAGCCTTTCACATAGGCACATGGTTCTCTCCATTACCCAATGCCAAGGACTCTTATGCTGGCATCTCATGTATATTAGATATCCAACAGAAAAGGGGCAACCAGCAGGAAGACAGGTAGGAAAAGTGTGTTCAGGAAGATTTGTGGAGATATAGGACCATGGGAATTAAGAGCATAATGCTTTAGAAGGAGAGAGTGGTCAATTATGTCAACACTGCTGAGGTATTGACAAGGTACAGATGGAAAAGCTGGTGATGGGGTTCACAGCAGGTGAATTACTAGATGATGTTGCTAAGAGTTGTTTCTTTCATATAATGATGTCGCAAGTCTAACTAGAATGAGAAGGATATACAAAGCAAAAAGAACTAGTTGGTAGTCCAGCAATTCAGGAGTTAGCATATGAACAAGAATCCACGGTGCTGAAGGAAGAAGTTCAAGCTGCACTGAAAACATCAGCCCAAATAAGGCTTCAGGAATTGATGGAATATCAGTTAAAATGTTTCACTAGGTTGATGAAGCACTGGAAGCATTCATTCTTGTATGCCAAGAAATCTGGAAGACAGCTACTTGGCCAACTGACTGGAAAATTCATATTTGTGCCCATTCCAAAGAAAGGTGACCCCACAGAATGCTCCAGTTATGGAACAATCACATGCAAATGAAATTTTGCTGAAGATCATCCAACAACAGTTGCAACAATACATTGACAGGGACCTGCCAGAGGTTCAGACCAGATCCAGAAGAAGTTGAAGAAGGGCTATCATTGCTGATGTCAGACAGATCTTGGCTGAGAGCAGAGAAAACCGGAGAGATGTTTACTTGTGTTTTATTGACTATGCCAAGGCACCCAACTGTGTGGACCATAACACACTAGGATAACCTTCAGAATAGGAATTCCAAAATATTTCATTGTGCTCCTGTGGAACTTCTACAGGGATCAAGAGGCAGTTGTGCAAAAAGAACAAGGGAATACTGCTTGGTTTAAAATCAGAAGAAAGGTGTGCGACAGGGTTGTATCCTCTCACCATACTCATTCTGTCTGCTGAGCAATTCATAAGAGAAACTGGAGTACATGAAGAAGAATGTGGCATCGGATTGGAGGAAGGCTCATTATCAATCTGTGATTATGCAGATGACACACTGTTCCTTGCTGAAAGCGAGGAAGACTTAAAGCACTTGCTGGTAAAGATCAAGGATTGCAACTTCAGTATGGATTACAAATCAACGTAAATACCAAAACTTCACAACTGGACTAATAGGTATCATCATGATAAATGGAGAAACTATTGAAGGCAAGGATTTTGTCTTGCTTGGATCCACAATGAATATCCATGAAAGCAGAGGGTAAGACAAAGACCCATTGTGTTGATTAAATCTTCTGCAGAAGACCTCTTTAAAGTATTGAGGAAAAAAGGATGCAGCTACAGTAATCCAAGGCATGGTCTTTTCAATCATCTCACGTGCATGTGACAGTGGGACCAGAGCATGTACACGGGTACAGATAAGAACTGGAAACACAGGGAATCCAGGGCGGATGAGCCCTTCAGGACCAGTGGTGTGAGTGGTGATACTGGGAG